GGGAGAGAGGGGGGGAGGGGGGAGAGAGGGGGGAGAGAGAGAGAAAGAAAAAAAACCACCAACGAAGGACCTTTAAAGTAGAATTAAGGAAACTCTACATTTCATTCTTAGACGCCTGCTTGCTTTTTGTGATTTTGAGGGCTGGCAAAGTTGTAATACATTTAAATAATGCATTTCTCGGAAAATTGACGATGTCGATCGCGATAAAAATCAGTACCTAATGGTTTTCGTCATTGGCACAATACACATTGGCAAAAATGGAATGAAGTTGAAGTGTAAGCGAAACGATCAAAGCTTCAGTTAGTGTCGGATGCGACGGATACTAAACTAATTTCATTTTAACGCCTGGATGCAACTATTCTGGTTCCATGAAGCATCGAGACTTACATTTAATGAATTGCTTAAAACCGGCAATTCTTGATCAAATTATATAAAATTATTGCAATTCGATTGAATTAAATTGCAAAATTATCTACATATTTTCACTGTGCTACTTACATATTTGGGTTGCAGTATATTAAGAGGGGTGTATATGAACTTCCTCCTCCCCTTCAACAATATCACTTGATGAGTGATGAAAGTAGTTTGCCCGTTGTTAGAAATCACAACAAATTTAACATAGGTGTAGATACTGTATTCCAAGTGTATTTTGCTCAAGACCCTTGTCTCACTTCTGATTTCAGTCTCAATGCATAATTTGGACAGCAATATACATAAGTGCAGTGACACTATACTCTTGCTCTACCCAACTGTCGTACTTCACAAATCTGTTGCAGAGAGGAGATCTAAAGGGAAATACAAGAATCAACTACATATCAACTTTGACGTATGTGGCATATTTGTGGAGTAAGTTACTCAACATTCTATGCAAAAAATATTGACTGTGGCTCATTAAAGTGTGAAAACAAATTTTTGATGAGACAGTGGTCATTTAAATTATTAAAGTTAAAAATTGAGAGTTAAACTGTAAGAGGGCATATCTCCTTTGTGATGTCTCAAAATCTCCGCTTCCAATTTATGTTATCGAAGGTGAACAAACTAACGATATTGCTTGAAATTTTTACACAAGATTCTTCACACAGAGGAGAAAAATCAGAAAAGTTCTCAAGGATCAAAGATTCATAAGATGAGGATATCTCCATTCAAAAAATAAAGTGAGACAGAAAGTTTGCAACTTAGCAAACTAGGAATAAGCAATGTTACAGTTGCACCATCAAAATGCCTGCAATATTGTACCTACTGTCATGAAGTAAAAACAATATAACTCCATGTATTGCATGATATAGCTTGTAGCGAGCAGATATGCAAGCTGAGAACATTGGATACTTTATTCAGCTTGATTTTTTGCCAGTGTACGTATTTCAAATATTGATATACTTAAAAGACTCCTTGCTGGCGAGAGATAACCATCAGTGGCCAAAATTATTTTCCTTTTGGTCACTGGTGAGACATTGATTGGTTGCTGAACGTTGAAAATGAGAACAGAGAAATTGATCTCTGGAACTAAGCTTTCCAAAAAAGACAAAACATGTAATCTGCACCTGCCTGAAGTTGGCTGTAAAATAAACTGAGCATCTAAAGTTCTGAGGTCGGATATGCTTTAAAATTTACTTTTTGATGATATAAAATCTTAGATATCCATTGATTCTTGCTTTGTTACCCTTCCTTTGTTCCTAACAGATGGGAAATGTAAGAGGGGTAATGCGACAAAAGCATTTTACTGGCCAGACAGAATACCGTCATCAGAGAGGACATACGCGTGGATGCTTTCTTATAGCCTGGTTACATCATGTTGGATTCCTGCTTCTGTTGGATTAATGAGTAAGTGTTCGAGTTTAAACATTTAAATAAGAGAGGCGATGTGCTACTTGCTATAAAATGTTAAGGAAAAGGGTCAACGTTGACAATCCACCTTAGTTTCATTAATTTGAGAGGAATTTATTTTTAGCACAAAAAGGACATCTGAAGAGGTCTGAACGAGGAGGGCTCAATCGCAATTTGTAACACTGCACAGTTTAATCTTACAAATTATTTCTTATGAGACGGTGGTTTTCGTTTCTGACGACGTTTCTTATGGATAAACCTCTTTCCATACAGAATAAGTTCTTGTTCTGAGAACAGCTCATGTTGAACCTATCTGAGGTCTGGAGATTCTTGCAGCTGTCGCAAGCCAAATCAATATACATTGCAGGGATAGTGACTGAATGGCTTGTATTTACTTTGATACTTGTTAAGGACCTTAAAATAGAACTTGACGGAAAATACATCGTTTTTACAATGTATCAATAATTTGTCATTTTAAATTTTTATACAGCTATCATGATCTTTCAATTATATTATTTTTAGACTCTCAGTTAAAAAAAAAAAAAAAAAAAAAAAAAAAAAAAAAAAAAATTGGTCTATTAATATGCATTTTCATTGAGAGTCACCCTCACACTTTTGTTTAAGCAATACTATTTAATGCTTTGGCATTTTTCTTAAATCCTTTCTTACTTGTGTTCATGAAAGAGCTATCCACAGAAAAAAAAAAAAAAAACATTAAAAACCCATTTTGATTCTACTTTTTATTTAAAAAATATGCTAGCAATACACTGATTGAATTTTACAGCTGGTGCTTTCTATGGTCAGAGTGAAGATGCTGTGATATGTATGTCTCTGCCATGGCTTGTAATCACGTTCATTTTGACTGTTATGGATCTTTCTGCAGCAGTTATGTACACTTTTGACATTTTCCATATGACGGTAATTTCTTGTGAGAAATTAAAATAAACATAAAATTTAGTTTTTAAGGTGAAAATACTAGCCATCGATGAATATACTAATGTGTACGTACATTGAAATACATTTGAATATGATGAATTGATTGATATCAACAAACTTTAAGAAGATAGTATAAGTGTTATGTTCCCCAGCAGTTTTCAGAAATAAAAATATGAATATCTTGAAATCAACTTTTTGGTATTTAGCTGACTTTTGATGATAAGTATTTGGGTATAGCAGATACATTCGTCGGGTGCCCTTAAGTGTTCTTGTGATGACTTTTGTTCTCTCTAAAAACTTTCAGGGGTATTTCAAAGAACGGTAACAAACTCAATGAAAAATAAGTTTCAACTCAAGAATAAACTAAAACAAATTCATTGATTTATATCGATTGATCATTCATAAAATGAAAATTCACACTATACAATAAAATTACAAATGTAAAAATACATCAGAATAAATGCTTGTAATTGTGACACCCACAGCTTTTCTGATGTGCACTTAGGGAACAGATAGTTAAAATGTGAAAGATAGCACTGTACCTTATGAATATTAATTGAGAGGTTTTGACTAGGATCTGATTGCATGTTGCCTAATTTCCTCTTGCGTTTTATGTATTTTGATGATAGTAAATTAAATAATATAATGCCTTTAAACTTTTCGTCTTCTTCCTCTCCATTATCAAGAATATATGCACTCGGAAAATTTTAAGTTAAATGTTTGTAGTTTTCTACTTAAGAAATAAAACAGGAGAGGAAATTGGGCAACGTCTGATGTAGTTACACTGATTCTAATTAACTCCATCCAATTTGAATGAGGGAAAAAATAATCTGACCAAAGAAACAGTTGAAGAAACTGAATTCAGCATCTAAAAGGTATTGTGGAATTCATATGCAAGGCACTTTCTTACTCATACTTCGACTGACTTGATTTGTTGGTTTGTAAGCAGTTGGAAGCACAACAATAACTTTTTTTATGTCACATTGATGTGCTGAAAAAAATAAGAAAAAACTATGTTAAAAAAATGGATAAAAAACACAAAAATATAATGAGAAGTCTTTAAAAGCATAGAGAAAAATATTTCTCCAAAAGTAGAGGAACATTCCAATGTAAATTGATGAGTTGTTAAGTCAGAATTTGAGAAGACTCCTTCTTTATCCAGAAATAAGTTGGGGCAACCGAATCCATATCTCACACCTTTTCCATTTTTAATGACAAAAATGAATGAATTTTACCTTTTCTAAACTTTACAGGATAAGAAAGCATACCTTCAATTTATCGGCGTTGGACTGAAAAATACCACGATAATAGAAGGCCTAGAAGGAAAAACACCTCAGGAATGGCAATATGACACAATTATTCCTGGCGTAATTTTTGTGTCCATATACTTGAGGCTAGTCGTACTATGGCTGATCAATGTGTACTTATTAATCAAGGTATTCAATGAGATATGGCGGCTCAGGAGAGAAAAAAAGAAAGAGTCTGTCAAGAGGCCTCAAAATTTTGTGAGTACATGACTGCATTCAGAATTTAACAAAATTTAAATGCCAGTTTTTCTTCATAACTTTTTTTTAAAAACCATGAATTTTTCATAAACATTACTTAAAAAGAACAAAAAGGATTTTCTAACCTGCATGATTTAAGAATATTTTTACATTTCTTTAAAGTTCAAAATTTACAAGGAAAAATTACTTCCATGATTAAAATGAAGGGTCCTCAAAAAATCGAGGGTAACATCGAGCTTTGTTTCCTCATATTAGAATGGCAGCATCACTTAGTATTAGTAGAGTGAAAATTTCATCTACTTTAAAGCAGTAAATCTGTGAAATATCGTAATAAACAAAATGGATGCCGTAAATTCGATACAGAATTTTGAACAACTATTCTACATACAATCCAAAGAATCAATGTATACTACTAAAAACGTAAAGCCAAGCCAGAAAAAACGACAATATTTTACACAAATTGTAAGTTGAGAAGTGAATTTAAGACTTTATAAGTGCGCTTATTGTAAAATTGGAGCAAAATTACCTACGAAAAAACTTTCTGTCCGACTCTGCTTACAATTTACAGCAGTTCCTCACTAAATGACTTATTTTTTTCTCAGGAGATGAGCGTTATCAACAGAATTCAAGAACAGAGACCAAGTCCACAAATGCAAGACGCACCTAACAAGAATGCACAATATGTTCCTTGGATGGATTTAGTGAGTTTTAAAACCAATGTACAGCAACAATCCTTGACGCAAAGGAGAAAATCTGAGCTAATCATCAACACAAAAATTGCTGAGAACTATAATCAAGCCAAGCTCCAGCGACTGAATGAAGAGTTCCGCAAAAAATATCTACCCGTCGATTCCCAGTTGGTAAAAATTACAGATAATAATTTATCTCCTGACAGAATGCGTCGCAGACATAGCGAGGAGTCATACATCTGGCGCGAGAAAGTCCGAGATAAAGCACGGCGATTCAGTGAGCAGCAGCACCAGATCAAAGTAATTGCAGAGTTGCTAGAGCAAAGAGCAAGCGGGCCTCCGAGCAAGGCCACAAAACAGGCGGAAAATGAGAGGCGGAGAAGTAAAACTAAAGAGCCGGTCAACTGGTATGAGCCCATATGGGAAATGGAGACAGCCGACAGCCATTACACAACGATTGAGAATGATCTGTATTCTCCTGTTTTTGATTACTTGGGACAACCTACACCCCACCTTCAGCCCTTCAAATGGACCTTAGATTCCCCAACATTTAAGAGATATGAGCAGCGAATAATTTTCAACTACCCTGTTGCTTCACCTACTTCTTTACAGTAAGTTGATCCCCGAATGGCATTTTCAGCATTTCAGAGTTTACTTAGTTCAGCTTAGTTTTGACACAAGGCGTCAAATGTTGTGGAGGAAAGAAAGTACATAATAATAATTCGATTATAAGAAATAATAATTCGATGAGAAATAAGTGCCTGAGGACTATCAAAGAAAGTGTGATTTACAGCTCTGTCATGATTCTCGGACTTGTGGCTGATGGGATTTTTTTAGAATGGGGAAAGAAAATTTCCAAAGAACTTTGATAGAAATAGTTGATTAGCTTCCCTTTTAAACAAATAGAACAAAAGCGGAGACTTACAACTTTGGAACCTAAGAAATGAATTTTTCAACATCAGCCATTCACACGCATCCTTGCATGTCTAGTTTATTTTAGTGTACTTTCTCAATAAATATAGGACTCCTTTAAAAAAAAAATTTGACACCTTATTCATCAATTGAATACCAATTTTGAAGAAAAAAAATTTAAATTTAAAAAATTTAATCATTTCTATTTTGCTTTTCAGAGAAAATAACCCCCTGAGGCGAATATGGAACGAAATCCAGGTACTGAAGTACGGACCGAAAACTCAAAATAAACCACCTCCTTCACCAAAAATTGACTATGAACTATAAATTCACAATGAAGGGGTGCAACAGGAAAACTAAGTTTGAACCTTCTAAGCCCTGAACTAATTGTTGGTATTAATGAACGAGTAGGTTGAAACTTTGTCAAATAAATATTCCACTGTCATATTCTGTGGCTTCGGTAGAAAGTTGGACCCAGAAATTTTATCTTTCCGCTTTTTTCTTCAGTTTACCTGACACTATCAAACACGAGGTTTTTTTTATTGAAATCGTCACTTCAATTTTCAATAAAATGATGATAATTTATTGACAAAGAACAATTATACAAAAGTCAACGGTCAGATTGAAATAGAGATAAAAGTAAATACTACGTACAGCCGCAGCTTTCCGTATTAACTTAGCCTAAGGAGATAGGAGATATAAAGAGATGAGATAAGGCGAATGAGAGTCAATGCCGTAGCGGAAATGATAAAGGAAAAAACTATAAACTAAAAAACCTTGGTGAAGAGATTATGAGACACAAAATGTGTGTTTCTATCTGATAGCGAAGAAGAGAGAACGGATAAAAAGGACAATAAAATTCAAATTTTCAATAAAAAGTTAAAAAAGTACTCAAAAAATAGAAGAACACTTCATAGCTTTTCTTGGCCAAGGCCTGGGGTATTAGGGTGGGGCCACAGAATTGTTGAAACATCTTTTAAAGCTGGAAACTTTTTTTTTCTTCGGAAGGATCAAAAGCAGATAGTTATTCATAATACTTACTGAGTAGACAATTCAAATAATAATTTCACTGGGATCAATAGTTTTTGAAATGATTCAACCTGGAAAAAGAAGAAAATAATTGAAAAAAACGCTGAAATCGTTTCTTGAATATTGATATCAGGAAAGCAAACACAGTGATGCATCTAAGGATTTTTTTCTTGAGAGAGGGGGATGTGGCATTTCACTCCATTAAAGTCTAGAGGATAGAATGTCCTTAAAATAAAAGGGAAGTATAGGAATCTTCCCCTAGAAAAATACCCCTAGTTTTACCCTTTGTGATTGAACTTGGATTTTCATCATAATTTCAAAATCGGTTTAGGGTTGCTATTTCCCAGAAGGAAGATAACTACAATTTTTCTGGACAATTCTGAGAAGGCTTTGGAGGGGGAAAAATCTAAGGAGAATAATTTTTACCTGAATAGTTTAACTTTGCTTCGATTGTTTCCAACAGCAAGATAGCCGCTAGATGGTGAAAAATCCAACGCAAAAGGCAGTTTTATGTATGTGTCCATGGCAGGGAAGTTTGAAAACACTGTCAGCGAGGGAAAATGTACCTACAATTAGGAAGAAAAACCTTTACTTGAAAAATTGCAAAGAAATTCAATTATAGATGTCTCCTAAGTCTATCGGGGAAGCAGTGAGAAATCATTAGAATTTTGATTGCTTAGTACTTCCCAAATTCGTTTCGAGAGTTCATGGAGGGAGCAGACTAAATCCTCATGTTCAAGAACTGTAAACTCTTCATCTACAAAAAAAAAAAAAAAAAAAAAAAAAAAAAAAAAAAAAAAAAAAAAAAAAAGTTGCTTAAATCCAAATTTTTGTTCTCTGCAAGTATCTAAGAACAGAAGCTAAAAAATTGTTAAAATGCGGATGACCAACAATATTTTTGGAGCTGGAAGAGAGGCAATGGACCACTAGATAAGGTACGAATTTCAGCATTTTGATACATGTTTCTTAACTGAAATTTTACGTAAAACACGATGCACACAACGAAAATTACTGAAATTAACTCCTGACGAAGATATTTAATGATTCTTGATGCGTCAATTCAAACCACCCGCTCATGAAAAGTCAATGCTCTACATGATTCATATCGCGCGCTAAACGTTTGTCATGACATTCTCTGCGATATAAAAATCTGGCAACCTCAATCTTGACGCTTTGGCTCAGTTATAGCAAATTGCTAATAGTTTGAACAACACATGGTGGGAAATGAGCATTGCTCGATTGAGAAGCTTGCTGAAACCGTTGTAGTGGGCGATTTGACTCTTGTAGAGCTTTGAGTTTCTTGTGAGCGGGCAGTTCAAATTCCTTGAAACCAATGTGAAATAAAAACGTTAATATCTTCGTTAGGAGTTGGTTTCAGTGATTTTCGTTGTGTGGATCGTTTTCTAGGTGAAATTCTGGTTAAGAAACATGTATCAGATTGCTTAAATTCGTACCTTGTCTAGTGGTCCATTACAATTACTGTGATCCAAAAAGCTACAAATTATCACTCTAAGTACATATTGCTTGATGAGGGTTGTGATAAACCATTTTACGAGAACCAATTGAAAGACATGAACATGGGAGTCAATAACAGCCTGTAGAAAGGCAGATAGAAAACACAGGACCCTCCAGTTATTCAATAATATCAACACTTGAATTAAAATAATTTTTGTACTGAGCTCCTATCATTATCAAGGAGGGAAATTATTACGAAAAAGCAAACATAAAACCTTGACATTAACTTATTTACCACCAAAGCTGTCATAATGAAGTTTATCCTGTTGGTCTTTAAGGGCCTGGACAGTCATAATGACCGGTCTTCTGAACGGCACTAATTTATGGCATTGCTGCGCAATAAAGGATAGTGTTACAGCAACCACGATTTTCAGCCTACCAATCTTTCTTAAATTTTCCTTTTTTTCCGGGCTGACATGAAATATTCAACAGAGATGCAGAGGCAGTAAAGTTCTTAGTTCTAAGATAAGTACTTACAAGTTTAAGAGCGTTGGGTTTGTCACCAGATGCCATAGCTAGAATTTCTGATGAGGCATTGAATTTGAGAATTGTAATGCTAGTAACCAGATTCATCACAGTTTTGATAGGTGTCGGATTGTTGGAAGAAATTGGAAGCTTATAGATGTTCACTGTCCCTACACTCGAGCCTGTTGCCAACAGTTGATCATTAGGTGACATGGCTATGCTTTTCCCTTTAATACATCCTTCATCATAAAACCTGCGCACACACCGTCGGCTGGCTACATCCCATATGTACACCTCACCTTCATCTGAAGATATTCATGAAAACAAACAATAAGCTGGAGAAATTACACAAAAGAAAAAAATGTCAATCCCAGCAGACCCCTCCCCCAAAGTTCCATGTTATTGTTATTTCAAAGATGGTCTGAGCTCAAGGAGGATTAATACAGTAAAAAATACCTTTATAATGAAATACACAGTAATAATAATTTGACGATGTTTTTGCTTTGTAAAACTCTTGCAAGCAAAATTGTCTTATGATAATATCATAACTTAAATTTGTTCAAAATCAGGGTAAGGTTGGGATTTGCAAAGTATTATTTTTATTGAAATGAGAGATGGTAACTTATAATTTTGGCTATGTGATGAGATTTCAGTCAGTTTACTTTGAATGCTAGTTAAACATTTGACAGCTTAATTTTGAGGCAGTTTACCAGAGCACACACCGGGTTTCAGAGAAAAGTTAATACTTTTTCAAGAACATAAAGAAATAAGTGGTGCTGAAGTGAATCAGATGTTTTGAGTTTGAGCTACCATTGGAACCAATGCATTGTTAAAAGATACAACTGTGATCTACACTCCCCAAAAGCCGATTTGGCAATACAATAAATAAATAAAATACATTCGGAATAAAGTGTGCAAATTGCTACAAGTGCAGACCTTAGATTACCACTTACTACCTGGCGAATGGTGTCTACCTATAATTGCAAAGGGTACATATTGTATTAATTGTTGCATTTTATTCCAAGTTCGACTTCCGTATATGGCTGTTGAGGAGTATTAACTGTAAATCAGAATAAATTGAGTTTGATCCAGTACTATGAAAAAAAATGTGATCGTTGAAATTAGGACAAAAAATCACTCCCCTGGAAAATTTTCATCCGTGCACTACGGCTTCTTCTCCCATTAACTGAACACAAGCGACACATACGGCCAGGTGCTTTTTTGATACAAATTGCATTGAATGTGTATTAGACGATATGATGTTTTTATTTTTCACACAATATAATAAATAGAAATAAAAAAAAGCGGTTAGAGGACGTATTTGATTTGTGGTGAGGATTCTGTTTGAGGGTTCTGATGATAATTTAAGCCAGTCTCATATTAGAGCAGATGTACATAGGTTGTCCCAAAAGTACTGCACGTTTTTTTATTTTGGACGAACGGTAGCAGATATCAAAATGCGGTTTGTGTAGTCTTAAAGACAGAGCAATTACCGATAAAACAACAAAAATCCGAGCTCTCTAAGTCAAAAAATGACCAAGTTACAGGGTTTTGAAAATGGCTTCCAGAGGGGACCCCTACGGAAATTTTAGCCTCTTTTCTGGGGGAAAAAAAACAAAGATTTAAAGATTCAAGATCAATTGGTTTTATTAAATCAATTTTACACAATCTTACCAAGATTACTGGCATTTAATCCTCTTCACTTGACGACTGGACACTGGTTTCCTTCTCAAAATACCTTCCATCGCATGCCACACAGCGCCGCAACCGTTCTTCCCACTTCTTCAAACATGTTTTTTCTTCTTGCCTGATGTTCTTCAAGAAAGTTTCAACAGCTCTCTCTATCTCGTTGATGGAGTTCAATTTCCTGCCTCTTAAGCCCTTTTTCAGCGTAGGGAATAACCAAAAATCGCAGGATGCAAGGTCCGGGCTGATATCATGTTGCCAACTTCATTCGATCGCGATGATTTCTCTGTAGAATTTTTGATTAATCAAATCTTTGTTTTTTCCAGAAAAGAAGCTAAAAATCCTGGAGTGGTCACCTCTACAAGTCATTTTCAAAACACTGTAACTTGGTCATTTTTTGACTTAGAGAGCTTGGATTTGTCTTGTTTTATCGGTAATTGGCCGGTCTTTAAGACTACACAAACCGCATTTTGATATCTGCTACCGTTCGTCTAAAAAAAAAAACAATCAACTCTTTGTTTTTTTCCCGGAAAAGAAGCTAAAATTTCCGTAGGGGTCCCCTCTGGAAGCCATTTTCAAAACCCTGTAACTTGGTCATTTTTTGACTTAGAGAGCTCAGATTTGTGTTGTTTTATCGGCAATTGCTCTGTCTTTAAGACTGCACAAACCGCATTTTGATATCTGCTACCGTTCGTCCAAAATAAAAAAACGTGCAGTACTTTTGGGACAACCTATGTAAAAGAGCTATCATTAGGAATAAGGACAACTTACCACCATGCGAATATAATGAAGATCCTTCCGAGTTGAAGCATACAGCTCCTACATTTCCATTCATCTTCAGAGTGAAGAGAAACTCTTTGGATCTACTACTTAAAAAGTGGATATTCCCAAATTTTCCGCAAACCACAATATATTTTCCATCTGGTGACATTACAAAATTCTGAAAGGGAACACAAAAAATTCATTATATCCTCATATTTAACAGTCAAACACAAAACATTCTGCCCTCAGTATAATTCTGGATTTTGTAAAGGTCCTTTCAAAATAACCTAATGAGCCTCCATCTTGCAATATTTTTTTTCTTCTTTTTTTAAAACAATGTTAAAAATACTAAAATTCTGTAAGACCTCAAGCCTTTCATGGAATGATCTAACTTTCCAACAAATCTATTGACTAACTTTAAAACTGAAAAAAGTTACTTTGCTGAAAAGCATTCATCCTTCTAGACGTTGAGTTTGTTTGGCTTACTGACAAGAATATAACGCTGCTGGGATCTGAGGTTGCAAATAAAACAATTATTGGTTTGTAGTATAACAATGAGACAAGAAACACATTGCCTGCAAGAGTTCAAAGTCTCTTCATGATTGAATACAGTGAGCAATATTGTTATTTTTTTTTAAGATTAAATCATCGTTGAACATTCGGATCTGTGATGCAAAAATTCCAAAATGTTAAACATTTCATGCAATCCAACATTTTTGACACACTCCACAATCTACAATTTGTCCAATAGCAAAATGCTAAATTTTACTGCAAAATTTTTAGTGTCCTAGGATCGTACGCTATTTATTCTAAAAAATGAGGAAAATCGCCTTACAACCCAAGATTTTCCGCTACAAATATTTTTGCACTCCTGCAGTGATCACTCAGAAAAGTGACACCAAACCATCAATGAATATGATGAAAATGCAATTACCTTCATACTTGTCTGTTCCAATGCATGGTGCATTGGAACGTGTAGCGTTTTGCCAGAGACCATGTCATAACAATAAAAATGTCCGCCATGCTGAGATCCAACGATGAATTGTTCCCCGTCCCGAGTAAAATGGGCACATTGAATTGGAAATCTTTCAAATCTAATGGATTGTAATTTAGCATTGTCTCGGCCATCAACCTGTAGAATAAGAAAAATTGGACTTGAAAGAAAGTTAACTATTAAAAAGGTAAAAATGGCGGCCTTCTGATTTTTGTCTGACTGCATCTTCAAATATATGGATTATTCTGAAAGTACTAGGATTGATGTTCTTGGTACAGGAGTAACACTAATCAGCAATAGGATTTCCAGGATCTATCAAGTTTGTTTTGATGATTTTAAACACAGTCCAGCTTAGTAGTTTGAAACTTAATAGAATTACAGTACATAATCCTAATATATTTAACTTAAGTATTTCAAGAAATGACATTGATTCGTTTTTTGTTGAATAAGGGAGGTAAAAGGAGAGATTTTGGAGCGCCACAATCAAATACTTCGTTTGGGAATCACACAGCTGAATAAAGCGTTGAAGACGCTTTTGAGTGCCATTGCGAAAGTTACTCACTTTTTTGAAAAAAATAAAATAAAAAAATAAACAAATACCTACAAATAAAGAGTGAAGGGAGATCATGTTAAAAACAAAGAAAACGACACTTACATGAAAGATTGAAGCTATAGAACCTGCGCCAGCAACAAGAGCTACAGATGAAGATGTATGGAATTCGACAGCTTCAATATTCCTACCTTCTATGTAGTTTGAGTCTCGATTTAAATCAGTCAATTCTTTAATTGCGATCTTGCCTTTAGGTAGATGCGCACTTTTGCTACTAATCATATTTCCACACCTCTATACCACAGAAAAAAAAGGTTCAGATTAAATTTAGAGGATGGAAGAGTCAAGAGTTTAGAAAGTTCTAAAAAAACAACCGTTTGTCGCAATCTGACATTTTTATCTCATGGTCATGTTTTCCATTTGCCTCAGCAAAATCCTTCTAGAAGACTTATTTTTTGGTTTTATACAGCTCTTATGTAGGCTTAAGTTGATGAAGATTGAAGGCCTTTTTTGGTGATAAGCTCTAAATATTTACCATAAAAAGAGAAATGCTGCTACTTCAACACAGTTCAGATGAATTACAATAAAAAGTTTCTGTTCACAGTTTTAAATTTGATTGGCAACATTATTCACACTCCTCGCCATTTAACCCATTGACTTACAATGACGGCTCCCAGCCGTCATCGCAGCGCTGGGCCAGCTCTGCAATGACGGCTCAGAGCCGTCCGCTGATTGTTCGCGTTATTTCGGCAATTCTCCGGTAGATTGCGTTCTCATCAATGTTTATATGAGTAGTGTGGCCACCCTATGACTTATTGTGTACGGTAATTTCTTGTTTTGTTGCGGTATTTTCATATTACTGTGCGTTTGCTCATGAAATAACCTCAAAATTTTCTGATTTTCGCTGATCTTGCGATTTTTGCGATTTTGACAGCTATAAACCACATAAAAAAATCATTGTGTTCAAAGTTTTCACCATTTTTCTCAAACGTTGTATTGTGAATGCTTATTTTGTCAATTTTCACCCTTTGAGAAATAATTTCTGGATTATTTTGAAGTGTTCGAAGTTGCTGATTTTCGCCAAATTAAATCGTAATTCCTGGCCCGGCAGGGTCAAATTAAATCATAAGTCAATGGGTTAAAGCTTTCTAAAAGTCTCCACCGGCAAATACCAAATCTTATAGAATACGGTAAACAAGAAATAAGTGCATATTGGCACTTAGATATTTCAGAAAAACTGCAAAGCAATTCATAGTCAAGAGTTAAACTAAAATCTGAATTTTGTGTGGTATTACCCTTTTTAAATCGCTTCCTGTTTCTTCCTCATCATCGGAGTCTTTTTCTTGGTCATCTTGTTCTGAGGGCAATCTGGCCCAGCTTGGAGTTCCAACAATTGCTTCAAACTTTTTCTTCAGCATGTCATAATATGGGTCCCCACTTTTGCCTTTCATAGTGAGGCTTCTCCTAGTTGTTTTTGAAACTGCTTCAACCCTGGATGAAAAAAGAATAGTCACTGATTTTGATCTTCGATGGCATGACTGCTTACAGTCATATACTTGTTCAAGCATGTATTAGGCTTTTTGAATATCAAAACTTCACATACCTGTTTGAGCATTTATTTGATTTTTTTAATATCAAAACGTTAGCTGTGATGGTGACTAGTATATCAGTATTGTAGTCTTAAAATGTCTCCAGGTGATTGTATATTACCTGTTACAGGTTCAGATTTGGATATGGTCTAGATTTCTTACAAATTTCTGTTATTATTTTTCCCTCCCCTGTAATTTCCAAAACTGAGGAAGTAACAATGTTCATTTTAAAGAAGATACTAGCAGGAAACCCGTGCTACGCACAGGAAAACCCCACCATCAGCAATCACTGTGATTAGTGATCAGTTACTAATTGTGTTTCTGAATTATTATCTACTATTTCAAAATTGGCGAGACGCACTGGTTTGATTAAAAAGTAGAGATTAGTAGTATGCTGCTATTTTGGTCCGTTCTGCACTAAGCTCACATGATAATTATAATAAAAAAAATACCCAATCAAAAGTTGGTTATTTTCATGAAGATTTGTTACTTTTGTCAGTTCAATGTTCAATTGAAGTTAGCTGATGAGTTTCAGCCGCGAAAATTACGGGATTTAGCCAGCGGTTTCGTTTAATTCACAGCAATGGCGGGTTTGTCATCTACATCGCGGAGAAAACTTGATTTTTCCAGGGATTTTGTAAAACAAATTAGAAATTACACGACAATCACCACGGTATCACGGCAAATACGTCGTGTTCCTAGCGAATTTTTAAGATCATTACAATTGCGCGTTATTCACATCAATATCGTGGCATACACGCGAATTTCTGACTCAATTAAGACTACGTAAATGTGCGCATAAAACTCATAAACATCTGTTACTTGAGATGGGCGAAAACGTATGATTTTCCTTCAATTTTGTATGATACCACATACCCACTCCGGAGTTCAAATAGTTGCTCGCTTCAATTCTGCTTGTTAAAAGTGACGAATTGGAAGAATCCAATCTAAATTTCACGAGAACTATGGGATGTAACCATCGGTTTCCCTATATAAGATTTAATGTTTTGAAATTTAAAAAAAAAAA